GGGGGGGGGAAGTAGAGGAGCACCAGCTGTCACACAGTCTGAGACATGCAGCTGCGTCAGACCACCGATCCGGCCACCGGTGTGCCGACCGCCATTGTCCGAGCCGATGGCGGGAACCATAACCGGACGCCGCCGCTCCCCGGGCCGAGTGGGGAGACGGCACCGCTGCCCTACTGGCCGACCGAGCAACAGGTGAGCGACCCAGACCACGAGTGAGGCGGTGCTGAGAGGTGAGGCTCGCGCACACGCACACACTCCCACACACACACGGACGACAGGGCAGGGGGGAACAGCACTTACAGAGGACAGTTAACATGGGAAACGTCCTTTAGGACTCTACAGCGGGGAACGAGAGAAACACAGGAGAGAAGGTGAGTCGCCGGCCAACCAGTCGGAGGCTGTGGACTAAGCGGCCACGCGGGGCTGAGCGGGTGGGCGGGGAACATGTATAACGTGTAGAACATGTGGAACAGGGTCTTTACCTTTGGGGGACTCACAGTCTGCTGCTCTGACAGCTGGCTGTCAGAGCCCCACACCCCCCCACACACACTTTCAACCTGTGGAAGGTGCGATGGGCTCCGGCCCGTGAGGGTTGAGCTAAACTTTACCCATTGTGTGCCGTCAGAGGAGCCCCGAAATGTCATACCCCCCCAACCCGGCAGCAGCAGAATTCAGAGAAAGCCTGACATGCCTCCACACACTCATCGGGCAGGTGTGCTGACCCACAGAGACCCCCCAATGGGAACAGCTGGCATGGGATCAGCTAGCACGCCAGCCTGGACGTCTGAACCGCACACAAGAGTCAAAGGTGATTCTGCTGATCCCCCTTTTTTTTTGCCCCGCACTCCTCAAACAGGTCCGCTTATACGTCTATGTGAGGGGAGGATGTCCATGACATTAAGCCTATCTCCGCTGGAGGGGATTCTATAGCTTAGGAAACCCAGGTCTTTTGATCTGGTAACTGTTTAAGGACCCCCCTGCCCCCCTCCATGCTGTGGCTGGGGAATAGAAGTCCTCTTGCACAGTGCGTGAGAGGAAAAACATCCCATTCTAACTAATCTAGCATTTGGAGCCCTTCAGCTTTTCCCTGAAAGTCAGTTCAAAAGATGAAGACAAGTATTACGGGCAAGAAATTAGAGACAGAGGTAGATTATCTGCTGGGGTCAGAGAAAGCCTCTAAAAGGGGGGGGGGGACGGAGAACAAGAGCCAGTGACTGGGATTCTCACCTTCTCCCTGCATATCTGAAGTCCATAATGTCAGGTTGTCGCGTAACAACTGCATGATGAGTGTGGAGTCCTTGTAGCTTTCTTCGCTCAGTGTGTCCAGCTCTGCGATGGCGTCGTCAAACGCAGCCTTGGCCAGCCTGAGGAGGAAAGGGGGGGGGGGCACACACTCACTTACGTCATTCGGTGCCTCGTGTCTGTTACTCATCACTCTACAGGCTCTGGTCGCACGGCGGGTCCAGGGAAGCCCGCGCACACACACACACACACACTCCTCACCTGCAGGCGCGGTCGGGCGAGTTGAGGATCTCGTAGTAGAAGACGGAGAAGTTGAGGGCGAGGCCGAGGCGGATGGGGTGTGTGGGCGGCAGCTCCGTCATGGCCAGGTCGGTGGCGGTTTTGTACGCCACCAGGCTGTTCTCCGCCGCCTCCTTCCTGTTGTTGCCGGTGGCAAACTCGGCCAGGTACCGGTGGTAGTCGCCCTTCCTGGAGGGGGGGGGGGGACACACAATGGACAATTGACTTCCAGAGAGAGCCCGCTTCTTAGGCTGACCTCTGACCTTCACGCAGGGACATCTCTCAGCCTAAAAATATACCACTTACACTTTAAGCATTTGGATTCTCCATTTCTGCCACTTTAACATAAAAGTCTAAAACCCCTGGAGCACAGAGGAACACACACACACTCACACACACACCGAAGAAGAACAAACTGGACCAGTGAGTTACCGTCTGTAGACAAAGTGCAAAACAGAATGAGAATTAGCTCAGAGTTGGGACTCAGACATCTGTCATCTGTCTAAATCGTCAGAAAAAACAGTCCCGAGAAAGGGGCTTCTTTAAGTCCCGAGTTGGACTCTAATGAAGCAGAATTTTTATAATTATCAGCCATTTACAAGCACTGGCGACAAAGCCTGCCTTAAATCAGACCGGGGCGGAGTTAAGGCCAGCGAACCCGAGACGACACGGTCAGAGACAGCAGGGAGGTGCTGAAGGTGTTCAGCCCTGGACGTGTGAACTGGACCGTACACTGATGAGCTGTGGCGGTCAACTGGCCACCGAGGAACGCTCCGAATGTCATAAACCCATTAATGACCAGTTCCCGACTTAACAATGAGTGCGGTACCCAGATGTGACGGATGTCAGGCAGCTGCTAAAGCCATGTAAAGGTCCCGAACCCATCCAGCACCGCCCCCAGTGGTGTCCTCTGTCCTCTGCAACCGGGACCCACCCCCCCACAGGCTGAGCTGAATGAATCCGGCTGCAGCTGTCCGGCTGACGGCGTGTGACGGCCACTGCTCACCGTCACAGCTAACTGAGCGACTGCTTTGTGCAGAGGCTGCCTTCCGGCTGTGCAAACACCACACACACACGCACCAAGTGAGAGGGAAGAAATCAAACAAAGAATCGGGGGGGGGAAAAGTTGGGCCTTCTTATTTCGTGCGGGGACACTTCAGCGGTGACGCATGTCTGTCAGAGAAACAACGGGGGGAAGCAAAACACCAGGCCGCCAGTTCGGGAGACCCCCGGCTGCCCTCTTGTCTACTGGCGCTGGACCCGGTGAAAAGTGGCCGATCCGAGGCTCTGGCCTGATTCAGGGGGTGCGTCCGCAGACACTGCTGGGAGGTGCTTACTCACTGCCGGCTCACGACTAGCCGTCTCGGAGCCCCGTTGGATCGGCCGATATTGCTTTGTCGTGATGCGAATTAATATTTAATGTCACCCGAAACGAAAGGAGTGGCGCTCTTGCGAGTTTTCCCCTCTGAGGTGTACGCGTGCTGGGCCCTGGTCGCCAGTGAGGTCTCGCTCGTTAATCTGCTCGTCCTTACATTTTGTTGTAGAAGACCTTCGACTCTCCCATGACGGCAGAGGGGAGAAGGTGCCGTTCCAGTGCGTCCAGAATGTCACCGCAGATGGACTTGAGCTCCTTCTCAACCTGACAGAAACAAAAAAGAAGAGTAATTTATTCAGCCACAAACACTCATCGCTCATTAAATAAGCTCTCCTTTAAACAGGCACCAGAATGTCTGCTGCTGTGAGGGGACAGAGGGAGCTAAGAGGCCATGTGGATGGGTTTTTTTTTCGGATCTGATGCACATGATCACATGGCGAGTACTGATGTCCACTCCAGCGCCTTTATTTGGACGCTCTTCCCCTGGGATTTCCCTCTAGGGACACAGTATCCCCTAATGGAAATCAAGGTGTACTCATCTCTGCGTGCCATTAGAGGGCCGACTGCAGTCCAGCTGCCTCTCCCATCCCCGACACACTCTGGCCTCTCCCAGAATGATAACAGCTCTTATTTCCCTTCATAAAAGCAGGGGAGTGGGGGGGGAGGCCTGGCCAGCTATGACTCAGACGCAGCCTGTCCAGTGGCAGCTCATGGTAATGACATGTGTCATTAGCAAAGAACTGTCATCTCACATTCACAAAGCAAAGGCTTTCAAATGAGGAGGAGATATTTTTAAAAAAAGAAGGCCCATTGGAATAATCAAAGATGTTCCCAAGTCTAATCTTGACATTATAGGATGTTGTCAAAAGCCTGGGAGCTTTACCGTTTGCCTGTATTCCCGGATCATCTTCAGTTTCTCTTCCCCACCCTTGCTTTCTTCCCGCTGTTCAATACTGCTGATTATCCTCCAAGAGGCTCTTCGAGCTCCGATCACGTTCTTGTAGGCCACTGATAGTAGGTTCCTCTCCTCTACTGTGAGCTCCACGTCCATGCCCGCCACTTTCTTCATCGACTCCACCATCTCTGCCGAAGAGACAGAAACAAGTTTGTTATTTTTTGGCTTTTGCATTTCATTTGAATTCCCCCTCTACAGCACTGACTTCTTATCAAGATCATCTCGTTGGCCGAAACCAAAACAGTTCGTCCAGAAACCTGGGTGATTTTATGTCTGAAGCATAGAGGTACTAACGGAGTTATGGGCCATAGGATCCGGGCTGCATAATAACTGGAAATGACGGGGTCTGGATTAAACCAAACCTTGCATAATAAATGAGGGATTCTGTTCTCCAGAATGTCAGCTCATTTCTTAGCGCTCACGGAACATGTGAGACGGGTCTGAATGTGACATTACAAGACCTAAACCTCCATCAATCCAAAAAATACAGACAATTGGTAGATGAAAAGTCATGTAGAGTCTCACTGGCACAGTCTAAGGGAGTTGCTTATGTAATTTGTTAAAATATCTACACTACTGAATCTGGGAAAAGTCCATCCTTTAGAAGCATGTGAAGATATGTACACAAAGGAATGATTACAATCGTTAATATTCCAGTAAGTAACCGTTAGGGGACCAACCCAGAATTTCTGGGAGGAAATCTGTGTCCAGATCCCATGAATGAGTCATGGTGCATACACTTAAATGTTACCGAGCAACATTTAAGCAGCCACACCGGCAGGCGTCTAAAAACAGCCCACCCTCGGCCTGTAAATGGTAAGACAGTGACAGGAGTGGACCAGGGATGAAGAGGGAGTCGCTTTTTTTTTTTTTGCCAGTCGGTCCGTGCAGCCTCCTTGCAGAGAGGAACACCCCAGCAAATGAACAGCTGACCTCCCGCTAACTCCCAGTTGGCTTCCAGCTCCAACTCCCTCAGCTTCTGAAGAGAAGCATCTGGGGGAACTTGTCAAGTTACACGGCGCGTTGCCCCCCAGCTGCTCCGAAACTAGTTGTTTCGGCGTTGAGCTACAATGCTAGCATAGCGCAGGGGAGGCAACTCCTGACAGCTCACGCTTCACCAGTCCGCCATTTTGTTGTAGCACCAGCCGCTAACCGTTAGCCAAAGTCCACCACATTCCTCCAATTTTCAGTGGAGCAAAGACACCGCGTGGCACCGGGGGGTTAGCCTCACGTCACGATAATTTACAGAAACAAATTAATTCGCATGGCGTCGAGTCCCAACTGGCTCAAATTAGCGGCGGTAACCAGGTTAGCCTCTTAGCTGGCCGCGGCTAGACCGGGCTAGCACCGCTCCGTTATATTAGAGGGCTCGCATGGGGGGGGAAATCCGAGCGGAGAAGACGTCCCACACTGAGCCGGTCGAGTGCAACTTACCGTCATATCGCTCTGCCTGTTCGGCAAGTTTAGCCTGATAAACTAAGTCTTCTCGTTCTCCCATTGTGGCTCAAGGTACGGGGTATAGCAGCAGACGAAGAAATTAAAGTGACAGATCTTTGGTGGGAAAAGCACGGTTGTGTGCCAGGTCTGTCAGAGGCTCCTAGAGACCAACTGGTCGATGACTGGCGTTCCGCCCCACCAGCAGCGCTGTGCTAGCTCAAAGGAAAGATGGCAACCCGCTTCATCCGGGTACCGCGTTACGCACACGGTTCACTCCGATTTTTATTTTCTGAGAAGATTGACTGCAACCTCGTTTAGAGAAAAAACCGACACTTGTTTTCACGCTATTCGAGTTTGTTCGAATCTACTGGAATGGATGATTTGCTCCGTCACCTATATAAGGTCCAAGCACATTGAGTTCATAACGATGTTTTTTTCTTCTCTTTACAAAGCTGAATAAAATATACTTGCGCGCATGCGCACATCGAGACTTAATTCTCAACACGTTTAGTTGGCTATTTAAATTGATATCTGATTTTTGTGGTGACATATTCTGTACATTTCTTTGAGTTAGAGCACAACGTGGTGTCCTTGAGGTATTATTTCAAAGTCTGGAAAACTAACAAAAAAAATCTCCATTTTATGGATGTGAATAAAAATGTGTAATCTCTGAGATTTCAGATTTTATGTAAACACAAACACAAATAAATATGAGCACATCCTGTTTCCACTTGGAAGCGGTGGTGATACTCAGTAAAACTTAGATATCAGGGGTTCAAATCCTGACTTTTTATCCAGTAAGGCCCCCCAGACAAAGGTTTAAGGTTGTATCTGTAAGCATGTTGTGTGTCGCTTTGTGTAAGCCCTCTAAATACACAAAACACTAAGTGAAGCTGACACGTTTTTCAAAGGATCTTTCTCCTTTTTTCCCGCATTGTAATTTCTCCAAAACGATGAGCATCCTGTCTCAGGGTGACCAGAAAAAACAGAAAAACTGCTCCATCATTTGTTCCTTCGGGATTGTTCTGCTGTAATTATTTATTGTTCGGTTGCAAAAACCTCCATCTTATCCAAAATACTGTTGCCAGAGTTCCACTGAGATCACACGTCTCCAGTTTCAGCCTGTCTTCGCTGACTCCCTGTCAAACTCAGAACAGATCCTAAAGTTCTCACTAATCCAATTTTTACATTATTTTGTCGTTGCAGTGACTGGGTACTAATTAGATTCTATCTCTAAAATTCTATGAAATAATATCTATTTTTGGGGGGTCTTTATAATAAATTAAACCAAAGTTTTATATTCTTAACAGTTCGACAGTTTAAAGCAGTGTGATATTAGGTCCATTTGAACTTTTTTTACCGTTCACAAAATGATGGACACCAGCTTATTTCATTCCCATTCTGTGGTCTGTTGGGTCCAAACATCAGAAACTCCCCCAAAACGGACATTATACCAAATGTACTAACTGAATGAGACCAGCCACATATTTTCCAAGCTGGAATTTGACAGGACTGGATTTCCTCTTTTGAAAAACTATAAAAATGATCACCCAGGTTCTCAAATGATTAAAAAAGAGTCACTAAAAGGAAGCAGAGGGAGCACAATGGGAAACAGGACTACATAACAACTTCCTGAGTGTGTTGCATCAAATTCCAGATGTTATTTCTATTGTCTGAATACCTTTCAGTTACGACAATCAAAATCATCCGTCAAAAAAGATTCACACTAATTAAATTACAGATTAAAGTTTTTATTGCATCTTAGAAAACTTCACAACTTTTGTGGAGATGTTTTTTTTTTATGTATTAGCAGACAAAAAACAGAACAATGGGTAAATGACTTCACTGTGTTTTTCAGTTTATGCTTGAAATCTAATCGATTCTACCCCAAAAAAACACAAAGAATAAAATAAATGTGGGTCTTCCCATGACGTTTCACTGCCAGTAATAAGTAGTTGTAACTAGGTAGGTAAACTAATGTGTATTTTACAACAATGACTATGTTTGCAGGGTACACCTTCACATGTGTGGACACATGGACACACAACTGGACACTTGGTTCGGTGTTGTCAAAAACATGACGGTCCTATGAATGGCAGGCCTTCCTGTTGCTAGGTAACTACCATGTGCGGCGTGAATAAAATAAACATGGAGGTCTTGATCATGAAATGTGATTACAGCTGCAAACGTGGTGACGGTTGCCGGTCAACTGCACGCTGAAGCTAGTCGGTTTCCTATCGGAGAGCATCAAAAAACGCCAGCACATCAAGCACATCGCTTGTCATGGGTTGATTTTATTTGCTAGTATATTAACACGTTACATGCTACAGGAAATAAAAAGGTCATTCTAATTGTCTTGAAATAATATAGTGTTATAATAAGATGGCACATTCTGCTGTTACACAATTTTTCCACTGGCATCGTGCCGCCCATTCCTTTATGTGAAAGGGAATGATGGACTTCATGCAGTGCTACTTAAAAAAAAAAAAAAAATACTTGGTGGTTTCATTGGCAACAGTTTAATAGGCTAGCAAAGCACCTGCTGTGTGCAGTCAGAGTGACAAAGAATCTGGATTTGATCTGGGCTACGCAGGTAAAAATGGACTGTATTCAAATCAAATGCTGGCGGCAAAGTTTGACTTTTTTTTTTTTCTGAGAATGTCACAAATATTTTCAGAACAGAAAAGCCTTGGTGAACGACAGAAAAGAAAAAAAACGCACAACAGACACGATTGGGCAAAAGCAAGAGGTCAGACTTCTTTTTTTCGAGGGTGCGACAAAGACGCCGGCCTGTTAGAATCGACCTTTAGGCCCCAACGGCTTTTTCTGCGTGCCGCCACAGCGCCACCTACGGGAGAACGCCGGGCTGTCCGCGGCCCACTGGAAGCCCCCCCCCGCCCCATTTAGAGTGTTTAGAGCCTGGAAAAGGCCTGGACTGCAAACCTGCTTCGGTCAGTGTGCGTCGGGATACGCGAAGCAATGATTGTCAGGTGTCAGCAAAACAGATTTAAGGGGGAAAAAATATCTGTGAAAAACACTGGGAAAAAAACAAATAAAATCACAGGGGGAGAAGATTAAAAACTATTAAAGAAAAGAAAGTCCATCTTGACTTCTGCGTTGCTACTGAAGGAGATGGGGAATAAAAGAACGAGGAGAGCACACAAAAAAGCAGGCTTATGTATAAAAAAATTAAAAAAACTGACTGGAGTGAGGTGATGAATGAGGTCATAAAAGGCTTAAAAACAAAAGGGTGGGGACCGCTAATACCTCCCTGCTTTCTTTTGACACTTATGACATGTTCTGGACACGGGGCAGTCTGCCTGGCTAAGGTATGGTCAGCTGAGTGGGTAACACTACCGAGCGTTGTGGGGACTACATTCACTCTGTTCAACTTCAGTCAGTCAGTCAGTCGATCATTAATCACGTTCGTCGGATACACAATGGAAATGCTTGCAGATGTGGCCCCCCCATCTGCAGCCGGGTCAGTTCCGCCTGCAGCGGTCAGCTAGTGTCGCCTCCCTTACGTGCAGCAGTAAAAAAAAATATGCACCTCCGGACCGAACGAGCTCAGAAGCAAAACTTCAAAGACAGCAAAAAAAACAAAACATACTTAGCAGGAAATGATAAGCACACAGCACATCATTTCATCATTCGTCTTACAAAAGACTACGTGGTTGGAGGTGAGGTGGGTGTGGCGGGGTGGGGGTGACAGGATGTAGTGTCGCCTTTGTGGGGCCGCCTCTTGAGAAGCCGGTCAGCTGTAGGTCCACCTTCACGCCGTTGAGGCCGTGTCTGCGTCCACCTGTCGCTCCTCCGGTGTCGGGGCTGGAAAAACCCCCGGAACCGGACTTGGGAACTACTTCACCCTTCCAGTCAATCGCAGGGTTTGGCTTTCTCAAATAACGCCGTATTCATGTCAGGCAAAATACCGCCCCCCCCAGAAAATATCAGGTCAGAGGTTAGCTGTGTGTTTAAATAGGAGACCTCCGTTAGCGTCCCTATATACGAGAGGAGCAGAGCAGGATCGGGAGAACGCTAGGCGTTTTTAAAAATCCTCTTCTTTACCTGGATACAGCCGGGCCCCCCCCCCCTCCCTCTGTTCCCTCGTCCTGCATGCACTTAGCTTGGCATCAGGAATGGAAACGGGGAGCTGGCGTGACTCACCTGAAGAAAGGCCCCCCAGAGGTTTCTCTTCATTAAAGATCCCGAAGGTGGAGGCGACGATCTTCTTTGTGATCCGGTGCATTACGGGGAAATACGCAATTTTTTTGAAGGAAGTTTAAGAATCATTTAAATACGGCGTCCTGAACGAAACACGGTTAAGTGCGCTGGCCGTTGGCAACGGGGCCCGGGTGAGCAGAGAGGATGGTTGCCATGGTGACGGCAGAGGGCAGAGACGGAGGCAGGCACGGCGCAGGGGGGGG